GTCTGTGTGTGGTCATAGATGGTGGAAAGGGAAGGAGAAATAAAACATGATATAAAATTCCGGAGGGGCTTTGCAAAATAAACAAACAAATAAATAGGTACATATGTAATAAAACATTTTCTCACTTGTCTACAGACTTACTGAATTACTTTGGCATTACAACTGAATTGGTTAATTTCTCTTTGACTACTGAAGTAACAACTTACTTCCATTTCAATAAAGCCTAGGTCATGCTGGTAGATATGTTTTGATTTGTTCCTTTTTCTAATAGGAAACAACCTTTCTTCTAACTTCTGACCAGTGGTTGGCCAAGATTGAATATGTGACCAGCAAGGCTAATCAAAACCATTTTAGAGGTTTATATGGTTGCTGGAAGGTTGAGGTGAATGCTGGGCAGCATCTTTGAGGCAGGTTACAGAGGCCCTGGGTGAGGAAGAACAATCCAGAGGCAAGTAGGTTGCCTCATTCTGTTGGTTCAAAGAATGAATGTGGGCTCCACAGATTAATTCTCATGGAAGACAGAAGCCTCATTCTTTTCAGACCTCACACCAGTCTACACTAGACTTCCCTATGGACAGAGTAAAATAAGTAGCCCCTAATCTCACCTGAAGAAATATTGACAACTGATTACTGCTAGGTGAGGAAGAGCTGATCTCCCTAAAGTGAGGGACTCTAGATAAGCTGACAAGATGAACTTGCACTGATGAACATCTGGGGACACTAACTTGACTCAATAGGTCTTAACACAAATGACAGAATGTATGAATTCCAGTGGGAGGGCAATAGGATGTGCCAGTGGGGATGGGGGTATAAAGATGATTAAGATTAATTGAGATGTTCTGTATGAAATTGACAAAAATTCAATAAACTAAAAAATTAAAATAAAAAAAATGAACTATTTAACACAACAACAAAAAGTAACCCACCCATGAGCTTGTGAACAAAAACTAAGCGAAGGTTAGCAGGTTTTTACAGGTCACTAGCAGCCACTGTAACCATAGCAGCAAAGAGTCATTAAACCACAATACCACTCAGTATCAACTTATATCCCCCAAATGGGATTGTTAAGCACATTGGAATGAATCGTTTTTAGACTGCAATTCTTTCTCCATGTCAAGTATTTCCCCTGGGTGACCCAGCAACTTAATGTTATCAAGGCCTTTACTCCTCACTCAGCTGAATCTTGTGGAAGCAGATGAATAATAAGGTGAATTTTTAAATAATGTTCCTCAAGAAGCAGTGGGCTACTCGGGAAATCCTCCTACAAAGAGATGGCATAATGGCTAGCTTTAAAGTCAAACTGCTCAGTGTGATGGAGGGCTCCTTAAGTCTCCAAATTATAAAAACAATAATTAAATCAAGGTTTTTCTGTAAAATGTTCTGCCACTCACCTAAATGCAAATAACTTAAGCAGCTAGATTATATACATTAAGACTATCAATATTGCTAAGATATAAAGAACTGCATTTATACTCCTAAATAGAGGAGAGCTTTGGGGGACTGTGACAATGATGAAGATCAATTTGTACACTTGGCTATTAATCACCATTTCCTAATTGGGTTTAATTTGACTACTGCTCATTAGAGTTATAAACCAACACTCTCATTTAATTGTGATTATAATTCAATAGCTGAACTTTTATGGTACAATGAACAAATTAATAGCTAAAGATAATTTTGGTCTTAAAAATATCATGTAAGACTTCTGCTTTAATGAACTGTACATACATAATGTGTTTTGCAATGATTTCTTAAAAACACTCAAGAATTTTTCCTGCTCTTAATAATTAAAAAGAAAACTTTAACCCTCACGAAGTTTGTGAAGCCCCAAGAAAAGGTTCCTATACCCTGTTCCCCAGTGCCAGACCAAAGGGTAAACAAAAATATAATCACAGCTTGATTGTTACCCTACTCCATAGGAAATTCTCTTTCCTTCCTTCTTCCCTTCCTGTTCACTGCCCACTCTTTCATTCTTTCTGTGTGTGTGCACCTATGTACATACATGTGGAGGCCAGAGGACAACTTCAAGTGTCATTCCTCAGATGCCATTCAATTTTTTTATTTTTAAAGAGCAGGTCTCCTTGTAGTCCCAGTTGTCCTGGAACTTGCTTTGTGGACAAGGCTGGTCTGGATCTCACAATCATCCACCTGCTTGCTTCCTGAGTGCTGGGATTAAAGGCGTGTAACACCATGTCCAGTCACATATTTTTTGAGACAGAGTCTCTCACTGGCCCCAAATTCATTAGAGTTAGTAGGCTAGTGAATCCCAGGGATCCAGCTGTCTCTGTCTCCTCACTGCTGCGATTTATAAGAGCACACTGTCACACCCAGGTTTTTTTCTTTTATTATTTTTATTTTGTGTATGTGTGTATTACCTGCATGTGTGCAAGTGTACCATGTTGTGCAATGCCTGTGGAGGTCAGAAGAGGGCACTGGAGACCCCTGGAACTGGAGTTACAGACTGTTAACTGCCATGTGGGTGCTGGGAATTGAACCCAGGTCCTCTGTCAGAGCAGTCAATGCTCTTAACCACTGAGCCATCTCTCCAGCCCCAAGTTTTTCTTTAATGTGGCTCTAGGGCTCAAACTCAGATCCTCCTTCTTGCAAGGAAGAATTTTACTGGCTGAACTATCTCTGTATCCCCATTTCTTTCATTTCATAAGACAAGATCTTGCTATTCAGTACAAGGTGCCGTGGAACTGGAGATCCTCCTGACTCAGGGTCCCACCTCAAGATGAGGAGGTGCAGGTAATCAATGAATGCTGAGGGAAGGAGAAGCAGTTTTCTCCAGGGACTAGTCCCTGAGAAGTTATTTAATTCCAAGTGGGCAGTTCTAAATACAGGTACACATGAGCACCACTACACAGACTCCGTGCACTATACATAAATATATATACATACAATAAATGTATGTATATATGTATATATATGTATATATAACAATAATAATCAAAGGAGAGAACAAGAAATTGAGAGAAGGAGTGGGAGGAGAGGGAAGGAGTTGGAGGAATGGGAAGGATGGAAATAATGCAAAGACAATACTCACATATGATATTCATATACACAAGAAAGGTTTTTAAAGAGAGATGGAAATAATGACTCAAGTTTGTAGTGCTGAGTCAAGAATGTGGAAGTGTATAAAGGCTAATGACAGTGCCTGGGATATGAGTTCAAAAACAGTTATAACTCCTCTCCCTCTCTATATGGAAATATTGATGATTTTATAGCCATTGCAATTTAAAGGACAGTTTGCATATAGGTGACCAAGTACAGATTTTAATCTGGTGTGATTATCTGTGTAAACCATCTCGTGTAATATCTTCAGTGACTTCCTGAACATGAACTTGCCATCTTACCATCACTTGGGCAGTTTTGGATATCCTTGAACTATTCTTACACTACCTAAGCAGAGAAATTACATTTTTTTGAGTGTGAGAGATGGGCCTATTATGTGTTTCATCCTGGAATGCTTATACATAACCCAGCTCACCAGTCTATGATATAGGTTTCATTTTTACCACTTTAAATTT